GCTCTACAAATTAACCAATGGGTTCGACAAATTTCGTTCTGGAGATTTCAGCCTTGAAGAATCTCGTAGCGGTCGCTGAAGCAATACCTGACGAAGATTTGTGGAGGCTGACCCATCCCAAACAGTTCGAGAGATTGCAGAAAAGCTAGGCGTTGGCAAATCCACTGTTGCGGATGGTCTGAAACGCATTGGGAAGGTGAAAAAAACTCGACAAGTGGGTACCCCACAATTTGAGTGACGGGCAGGAATTGACACTAAGGTGGTTGCTCGAGGTTTCTTCTTCACTGCTTTTGCGCAACAGAAACGACCCGTTTTTGGACCGAATTGTCACCTGTGATGAAAAGTGGATCATGTATGATAACAGGAGACGTTCCAGACAGTGGTTGGATGCCGACGAACCGCCGAGACAATTTCCAAAGCCGAACCCTCACGAAAAAGGATTATGGTCACAGTGTGGTGGTAATCGGCTGGTGTGATCCACTATAACTTTTGTCATTCGGCCCAACCATCACAGCACGGTCCCACTGTGAGCGCAAGTTGACGAATTCAACGAAAAACTACGTCCTGCAGCCAGCACTTGTCAACAGAAGGGTCCGATTCTTTTGCATGACAACGCCCGCCCACGTTTTCACAAATCACTATCCATAAATTGAACGAATTGGGGGTTAAAGTCTACCTCACCCGCCATATTCTCCCGCCATTCACCAACCAACTGTCATCTTTTCAAACATTTTCAGAACTTCCTTGCTGGAAAATACTTCATTAATCAGAACAAGACAAAAAAGCCTTCGCGTATTTGCGACGATATCCACCATACACTTCTTACTCCCTGAGCCAGAGTAGGAGTGGGCGTTTGAAGATGACACGGAATGGTTCCTCATGGAATATTACAATTCGAAACAACTGTCATCTTGTTCTGCGTTGGACAGAGACACGACAACAGTTGTGTCAAGATGGAAATATTCCACCAGAAGCGTAGACACCTTCAGGTTAAGTTGAAGAATGCAGCCCCGCCTACCCGTCAGGGATCTCGAGTATGCCTTGAGTAAAGTGTGCAAAGCACTGATTCAACAAATTCGGAGAATAACAATACATTTCCTTTGTCAAAATGGATAGGCTTGGCGCGCTAAAACTTTTCCCCCCAGTCGTAATGATGGCAAGCTGCTTTCACTTTTGTAATTGCCGATTAACTTTCAGAAGTGGACACAAGTACCTAAAGCGCCTTAGGCAGTCAAAGCGGTGTTTGGTTTCCCCCGTACGGAAGCTGGGATCCACTTGATGACGGGGTACCATGGTTCACAGAAGAAAAGCGAGTACGATCCTTGCAAGACATCCAAAGATATATGTCTGAACAAAGGAAAATGCACGAATCGAGATGGCGAGTGAGTTCCATTCCGAAATAATTCCTTGGTCCATTAGGTCCTTTCACTACAGCGTCATCCTTGTCAGCGTGAAGTGCTGTGTGGCTAAACAGCTATATGACTGAGAATCAATTTATTCTACATGTGGTTCTATTGTCAACAAGCATCGTTAAGCATTCATATGTGCAGTTGTCCCCCCACTCACTTTGGAAAAAGATGTGAACGTATAGCGAACACAACCTACTGCCAGGATCATAAGTGCCAGAATGGCGGCACGTGCTTGAGGTGATTTTCAGTAATTTTTTTACTGACAATTCTCATTATGACAGAATTGGCATGAGCCTGCTTTGGAAATAGAATATCTACACCATCCTCCTAGTTATTTGTGGTAGAGCTCAACAGCTAACCAGCATCCTTCTAGCAGTGCCTTTCGAGTTAGGGAGTTTGTTATTCGTCAATTTCAGATGGTCCAAGCGGCTGCTGCCCCGGCCATTTTAGCCTGTTACCCTGTCCTACTTGCTGGCACCAACCCTCTCCAGAAGCATAAAAATTGCTTACATCGGTTGGAACGTTTCTAGCCGCACCGCTTGGTTCACCTGGTTCATCACGAGGTCAAGAATTCGGTTGAACCGCAGATTTGCTATAGTCTGTTGGGTTGATAGTGTGACTTTTCGCTCTAATATAAGACCTACCTACTGAAACACGCTTGTGGCCGGTGCTGCGGACACTTGCACACCCAAAGTTTTTCACCAAAAAGCAGTCCCAGTCAAGTTCTCTCGCAAAGCTCGCCCATAATCTCGTCTTCTGGACGAAAAATAGAAACCAAAGGACGAAATATTACAAAATTTGGTACTTGGAGATGCTTGCCTCTATAAAAAGCTGATTTCAGCACAGCAGCAAAACAAACATTTATGGATCCGATAGAATTGCGTGCCTTCAAAGAGAAGAATCCTTCTCTCTCAGCGAGTGAGACCAAAAACAAGTTCCTGATCACCATTCAATATCAGTAAGTTCTTTGAATTATTCAACAGCAGGGTGCTGTCAAGAGCTGGCCAATATTATTTTGTCCAGGTGTATCTGTCCGGATGGTTTTATCGGCGAATTCTGTCACATTACTGAAGAAGAGCGAAGTTGTGAAGAGGACTACTGTAGTAGTCATGGGCAAGGCCATTACGACCCGGAGAGTGGTTGCGATTGCAAATGCGATCCACACGAATGGGTCGGGGAACGTGTAAGCGGAGTACTACTTCCAAGAAACCATATATTTTTGCTTCGATGTTTGCAAAATAACTTATTAATCAACAATCTGCCTGAAGAGTAATTTTGAAATAGGAAAGCATGTACTGACACAGTCAGACTTGCAGATTTGGCTCTCGGAGTTAATTCTAGTGTTAATTACCTCCTTGTCATCGAGATCTGGCGCAGCTTGACGACGGAGGGAGGAGGAGGGGGTCATTTTGCACTTTTGCTCCTTGCTCTGAGGAAGCAATGGTAGTACAAAATGCCCCCTCGTAGTCAAAATGTGCTTCGGGATCTTTACCCCTCGCAGTCCACTAGTAGCGAAAGAGTTATGCTTTTCCGAGACTTTCATTCAGAGCGTTGATTCATGTTATACGTAATGTGCAGGACTATGGACTTTCGATCCTTTCTCTTCAGAAGCTTTACTACATCTCCATAGGGTTAGAAAGCGCGATGTTGAGGAACCGTCTGGAATTCCTTCTTCTCCAATGGTTAAGTTCAATTTACAGTGTGACATTCGGTCTCCGTGCGCAGGCTACAGTTGTATGAACGCATCAAATTGTACGCTGAAATACCATGAAAAAGAAAACGCAGTCGAAGCTGTATGCGAGTGTCCTAAAGCAATCGAACTTGTCCAAGCGAAGGTCACAGGTGGGGTTATCTTCCTTCGTCAAGCA